GTGTGTGTGTGTGTGTGTGTGTGTGTGTGTGTGTGTGTGTGTGTGTGTGTGTGTGTGTGTGTGTGGTTTACACTCCCTCACTCTCAGTGTTTGCTGTAATGTTCTACACACTGTTTGTCCTTTATTTCATCCTAATTTAACTATTGGACTCATTTGGTTGATAATGTGTGTGGGATGACCACAGATATTTAAAATGACCAAATCAGATTAAAAATGGAGTTAGTTTTACTATTTTGCTAATTTTTTTTTAATTCTTGATACCTGCTAATTATTGTGATTGTTTAAATTATTTGTTTATGCAGTAAAATAAATATATACACAAGTTATTACAGGAAAATCAATGCACTTCAGTGGATTAGCACATGTGATTTGTGCCTTTTGAGCTCATTATGAGAAGCAGTAGCTCAGGGTTAAATGACATCGCTTACGTATCACAAGCTTTTCTATGTGACTGTCATAAAAATGTTGTTATTAAAAGTCATTATCCTGTCTCCCTGTGTGTAACTTTTGGGTTTTGCTGTTTGTGTCGTCTCTGTGAKGATGATTTGTTGACTTGTCTGCTTTGGTTATTTTTGTTGTTATTGTCCTATATGTCTTCATCATAGGTAAAATGCAGGATGGCAATTTGGAGAGCAACCAGATAAAAGGTAACCAAATCATATGTTTCACTCCTCCTCTCCCTATTCTTCTCTTCACTCACTTTTTTTTTCTTTTCTCTTTTTTTAAATTCTTTTTTTATGTGTTTGGTATAAGCTCTGGGCCAAAGCTATGTGGAAAATATCACTTTATTTAGTTTAACACGTTTTTCAACACTGCACAGATGGACTGTGCAGTGCTAATCCTTAATAAAATCCAATGATTTTCACTGGCAAACATCAGTTTTTGATTTTGACTATGTGAAAAGAGAAGATGCTTGAAGTTTGACCCAGCTTTTACCCGCACTCTTTAGGTTGGAAGCTCGCATTTTTCACATTCCCATCTTCTGTCATTGATGTGTCGTCTGTGGTTTGATGTTCTCTTGTTCTTGTTTTGTTGTTGGCTCATCTTGTTCTTTCAAATAGATCAGCAGCCTGTCCCTCTGCTATTCTGTGTCCTTCTCACTCAAACTRCCTATTCTCCAGAAACATCTAAAATTGTTTTTCCTTTAATCGCTTGTTGTGAAATCTTTACTCTTTATGATGTTCCATAACGTTTGCCCCTTACAGTTTTACACAACCTGAAGTGTAAATGGATACTGGAATTTATGATGCAATTTTTAAAAATAATAAAAACCTTACATTTATTRCTATCTGTAAGGAGGGATGGTGCAGTAGAGCTACAATGTAGACACTTGGAGTATAACTTAAACTCTTAAATGACATAAAAGAAAACAAACAGTCGATGTGGTGACAAAAGTTACATAAGTGGATCTGTACATGGAGGCGTAACAATGAAGAAGAAACCAGAACACAGGACAATACTTTGCAATGATCTGCTGMTGTGAAGACAGAGAGACTGGTTAAATAAAGCTGATGAGAGATGGAACACCGCTGAATTGAGTGAGACTGGCTGATTGACTGGAAAAAACACTGAGAGCCAACTGGGGGAAATGATGAGAAATGACACAGGGAACAGTATAATGTAAAGAATAACATAGACTAATGAAACTAAACTAAAGGGATATACCATAAGGATAGAAATATAAAATACTAAAGATACAGAAAACATGAAAAACCAAAGTGGAAAAGAGCAAAAACACTCCAAACCATAAAATAATAACAAAAACACAAATATCCTAACACTATTTATATTTTAAAACTGCTCATTTAAGTACTTAATTTATCTAAAAATATAAAAAACAAACAAAAACAACATCAAGATCTCCAAAGCAAAAAAGGCAATACAGCATTGAAAGCATTAAGTTGTTTAACTTAATGCTTTCTTAATGCTTAATTATTGCTGCACTAGAAGCTCWTTGTTTCAATCATTTTAATCACAACATTTTCAGCATTACTGGTATGATGATTATAATGTCTTCTTCCATTATTATTACTGAGCAAAGCTCATCTGCCTAATAAAAACTGCATCATCAGAAGACATTCCGTCCCGTGTCAAAAGGGTAGAAAGAAATGCACAATAAGACAAACGTCCAGCATTAAAATGTTTTCCATGACCATCAGATGCATGCCTCATTGTGACAGGAAAACTAGAGTGAAATGATTCTAGGTAATGGGTTGCATTAACTGAGAAGTGGACTGTGTGTGTGTGTGTGTGTGTGTGTGTGTGTGTGTGTGTGTGTTAGAAGGGGATTCGAGATTGTGAGAAGAAGTGAGGTAATAGAGGTCTGTTTTTACCTGAACTTTTTTACATAAGAGCACTTGAAAACCATTTCTTACAGCAGCAGAACAGATCAATTTATCTCCACGGGAACATAAATGATACATCGTGTCTATAAAGTATATAGTATGTGTTTTCTGAATGTTCAACAGCCAAATTCCTTTTTATGCATGATGATGATTTTTTGTTTTTCAGTATATTCGCTGAAGTTAGGGGTTATTTTTTTAAATCMTTAATGTGATTGTCTTGTGGGGTTGAAAATGATCAAATTTGATGATTTTAAATGTGGCATCATTCTTTATTCTGCAAACAGCTCAGTGTTATCTGTGAAAGCATATTTCCTAWCTGTAGATCTCAATGATTTTAATTGATTTTGGGCTTTTGGCTCAATGGATTTTTATATAGTGTATCTTGGAAATAAGTGTTTAACTGAAAATTGGGTTTACAAGGTTTCTCAATACTACAAAATTAAACAAGCCACTAATGTTCATTTGMTTTTATTTTAAATGCATTATCTGAATCAGGTTTAAAGAAACGTATTTCTATATTTCAGCATCAGATTTTTTTTCTTCTTTTTTCTTTAATTTAGCCTGATTTAACTCTGTCACTGTTTATCGTTTTATTTGTTTTTAGTTGACTTAAATTATTTTGTGTTGCTCATTTTACTTGTCTTGTTCACATATGAGAAGTTACTCACATTTCTTTTTCCCCTCAACTCCTCAGCAAATTTCTAAGTAATGTGTGTGGGCTTTATGTTTTATTTCTTATCTTTCCACTGGATTTTAAATTTGTCTTTTAATTGTTTTTATAGTTATGTGAGTACTAAATGCACCGGAGCAAATCTCACACTTGATTGTCCCTCTTCTTCTCATGTTATTAAACTTATCTCTATTAAATAACAATGGTTTTGTCTCTTCTTTTTTTTCCCCTCCATTCTGGTGTTTACAGTGAAGAAGCAGGATGGAGCAGCTGCCATGGAGATGCAGCCTCTGAAGAGCGCTGAAGGCGGCGAGGCCGACGAGAAAGAGAGGAAGAAAGTGTCAGCTCCCAAGAAGGAGAAGTCTGTGCTGCAAGGGAAGCTGACCAAACTCGCAGTCCAGATTGGGAAAGCAGGTACAGCAAATTGCTCACAGACGTATCTATCACTCATTCAGGCAGAAAATCAGCAACAACAAGGCACTGAAGCATCATCCTGTCCATCAAATAAATATGCTGTACTGGGGTGGGGGGCTACTTTGTAGTTGCTTGAAGGAGTAAAAGCTGTCAAGAAGAAAACGCAGGTGTTTGAATTATAGAAATTTAGAAGCCTATTCACTCAATTTTTCTAAAGGCCCTGCCCTTGAGAAAATGAAGAATCACTGCTCTGGCACTGGCTATTATTCTCTTATGCCGCCTGTACTTCAGCTGCTTTGCAATTGTGTATTTTAATTAGTTACGTCTAATTTCATTTAAAACTGTTTAGGGAGGAAAGAGGTTGATGTCGAGAGCATGTCTGTAAATGGAAGCTTTTTTAGTTAAAGTTTACCTGGGCGTCCTCCAAGCAGCATCGCAGTAGAACTACTGATGAACAAATGATTATTTAAAATGTGAAAGGTTTTTTTTCCACAGAATCCCTCAAAGATGTCCTTGTTTTTAGAGTGTGCTTTTATATCGGAGTGGCCTGAGTGATGGAATGGGGACATGGTGTCAGCACAATAAAATACCATGAATGGATTAGCATACAAACCGTACTGTGAGATCATGTGGCATTGCTGCAAAAGTGTTTGTACTTAATGCATTTCATCATAGGCTCTATATAATGTCTGGTTTGCTTTGAGGGCTGCCTCTGCTTGTTCTGTGATCATGAGACCCTTTGCCTCCATTGCACCAGTTTTTGTCATAGCAAACTTCTCAACATTAACATTTCCGGATGTTGTTTTGTTCTTCCATTCAGTCTTCACTTCATTAGTATTCCCTTGTTTTAAGTAGTGTCATCGTTTTTTTAATCATTTGATCACGTTAAAAACTAAACAATTAATAAGTGGAATATGTTTGTGCCATTACCAGTGTGAGAGTGTTGGTGGATGATGCACTTCAGACCCTCTGGTAACCAGTAGGCATTGCAATAAGATGCAAGAACCAGACCCTTTACATTACTCATTTAGTTGCTATTTGAAAGTTCAAAGAGAAAGCAGCTTTTATGATTCCTCCCAACTTTCCTTTWCTCGGATGACACCTTCTGTGCCTCTTCCAGGTTTGCTCATGTCAGCTATCACGGTGATCATCTTGGTCCTGTATTTTGCCATCGACAACTTTGTCCTGAAGAAGCGACCTTGGATGCCAGAGTGTACTCCCATCTACATCCAGTACTTTGTCAAGTTTTTCATCATTGGTGTGACTGTGTTGGTGGTGGCTGTACCAGAGGGGCTTCCACTGGCTGTGACCATCTCGCTGGCATACTCTGTCAAGGTATGGGAGAACAGACACACACTTATGCACCGTATAGTCGGATAAATGTTGGAAAATCTTTCTAAATGCGCACATTTCTTCTTTTTTTTTCTAACAGAAAATGATGAAAGACAACAATCTTGTGCGTCACCTGGATGCCTGTGAAACAATGGGCAATGCAACGGCCATCTGCTCAGACAAGACTGGCACGCTAACCACCAACCGCATGACGGCTGTGCAGTGCTACGTAGGAGATGTTCACTACAAAGTCATTCCTGATCCTGGTGTATTACCACCCAGATCACTGGAGCTCCTTGTCAACGCCATCTCTATCAACAGTGCCTATACTACAAAGATACTGGTGAGCCATCTGTAACGGTAGCATTTTCTAATTTACATGATACTTACAGTTAAAAAGTAAAATATTAATCAAATGACAACATTAATAGTGCATGTTTATGAAGTTTAAGATAAAACTTGAACATCTTGGAAAGGTTGCATAGATATTAAATTACTCTRTCTCAGCATGATGCAGGCCAGCAGTGCTCAGTCTTGGCAAAGCATGTAGCCAGTGCCCTTGGTTGCTGCTTTACATTCATCAGACATTTACTCAACTTGTCACCTTGAGAACAGTTGCGTAATTCTGTCTTATCTGATATTCAGAGCATTGCACACTGTAATTGAATCCAATATGTCTAAGTGCAGGAGACGGTCTCTTTGTTTACAGTGAATGCAGTAGACAGACATTTTTTATCAGCCCATTAAATTTAAATGCACCATCAGAAATAAAGATGTACTTTGGAAGAGTATTTTATCTTTTTTTTATGAAAGCACTCATTTAGACTGAAACTTATCATGTACAAAGAACAAAATACTTTCATTTGCAAATATAATTTTAGTAAGGAAATAAGTCAGAATTAATTTGAATCAACAATGAAAAAGCTCCTTGGATKAGAAGCAAAAAGGTCTGCAAGAATAAAAAGAGTCTACCTGCTTTTGGTACAGCTTGCTACAATTACCGTGTACTGAATGACTGACTCAGCACGGTGCAGGGACGTTACATAAGATGAAATCATTTTGTAACTCTGTCATCAACAATCTGTTGCAATACGTGCATTTTTTTGTCCTAATATTCAACGATGCCTTCACCAAAATGCTAATTGGTTATTTTAAATTGGCAAYGCTTTCTTTTACAGTACCCTTATTACCATGTAATTACAAGGTAATAAAAGTAATTAAAATTGTAATTACTACCTTATTACCATGTAATTACAAGGTAATAAAAGTAATTAAAGGTAATTACTACCTTATTACAATGTAATTACATGGTAATTAAGGCACAAAAGAAAAACTGTTAGTAAAACTACCTTTATTGGGTAACTACAATCAAATTACTATTCAATAGTAACTCAACACCATATTACCAAACAAATGTAACTAAATTTTGGGATTAGTGGTTAATTGCAATAAAATATAACTTTAATACTGTACAAATTACCTACTACTTATTTAGGTGTTACATAGTGAATTGTAATACATTACCAGGTAAGTGCTACATTACTGCAGACAATTAATTACATAGTGAAATTGTACCCTAATTACCACATAATTACATAGTAATAAGGTAGTTAAATTTAATTACATTTTTTTATTACCTTGTAATTGCATGGCAATAAAGGTACCGTAAAAGAAAACGTTACCTTTAAATCAGCAACAACAAGGAAAGTTCTGGATATCTTCTGAGAATCATGGACATTCCAGTGTAATTAGTGCTCAGTGTGTTTGATTTATCTGCTGCTCCAGTCAAAGACACTGGTTCATTTTAGCCAAATGGACAAATTTCCCAAGATCTGAATTATTTTCTTCCTATATCTGATATTATTTTTTAATATTTTAGTGTATCTCTGGTAGAAAAAGTGTTACAAAAATGCATTTAATGGCTAAAAAAGTGATTTTTTTTCGTGATATGTCTCCTTTAAAGGCAGAATGAAAGAATGGCATGAAAAAAGTAAATATGACTAGTGACAAATAATTAAGGAACGCAGAAAAGCAGGAAGCAGAAGATAAAATTGTGAGTAATACTTAGTCAGTTCCTTTATCCCTCCTCCCTAGCCGCCTCCACTCCCTCAGAGCCACTCCAGCCCTGCAGTATGCTTGCTGGTGTGTTCTTATATAAGAGGCCAATCCTGTGGGATGCCAGGATGGCTATGGAAGTCTTTGATGGCCACCACACAAAAAAACACAAAGGCAAAGAGGCAGGCTTTGATACCTATATCAATCCCCGTAGTGCTCTCTGGCTTTATAATACATCCCCTCCTATATTTCTGCCTCTTTTGACATGCTTATAGCGGTAAGAAGTGGAGAAACTTTCATCTTCAGAGGAGAAATTTACACGTTTACACATTACCACTGTGCATGTAAACAGCAGTAGCACACTTACATCTCATGGAAGCACATCCACACCAGGGATTCAGGCTAAACTTTACACTCATTCATAAATTCTTAATGGATTTTGTGAAAACAAACAAGTAAGCCTTATTTTTTTCTCATATGCTAATCAATCTTAGTTTTCGATACACTATGAATACCATTCAGTGATGTTAGTGTACTAATTACTCAAAAGAAAGAGTAACGGTCTAAACTTCATTATGTATTTACAGTTTTAAGTGTGTGCTACACACAGGACAGCTGAAAATAGATACGGGTATCGCAGTACACACTGACCACTCGTGCACACATCTGTCATGTCAGGCAGTCTAACCCTGTTGGAGGTATTCGGACTACAGGTGTGTGTTCTCACAGCACAGTGGTGTGTTTAGCATGGCTCTGTGAATGTCCTCAGAGCTCAGTTTCATGTAGATTCAACCACCTGCTCAGGTCACTTTTTCCGGCCAGAGAAGAGAGTGATAGCTAATACTCACATGCAAATGGCTATGTAAAATACATGACACTCTATCTTTTAAAGGGAAAGCTAAAGGAGTTTATTGTGCGGTCAAAAACACAGTGTACTGAACTCTATTCCCTTGTCTTCCCGCCTCAATCGGCACTTACAAACTTGATGGTACAGCTAAAATTGGCTTGAAAAGAGAAGGGGTTATCACATCAGTATGACGGCGCTTTGATGTTTTAGTGGCACGAGGCGTAATGGGTTTTCCCTTTACTCACTATGATAATAATTTACATGCTTTCATTGATCTTGTTGTAGCTGATGGAGGAAACCAGCATCAATTAGACGCATTAAAGAGCAGAGTGAAAGTACAGAAGTAGCAAAATTTATGAAACGATAATACTAATTTATTGAATCAGAGCGTGAATTAATTGCCATTTTATATGATCGTTTTGGTCAATTTGTTCTTAGGAAAAAAATTCATGCTCAGAAAAACACTGAATTTGCAGTAGTTAAAACAAAATCTTAATGATTTGATTCTGTAAGGATGACTCAATAAATTGTAAATTTGCTGTGTGTTAACAGTCAAAAAAAAGAAGTGTCATACCAGAATTATTGTTGCATGTAAATCTGCTTTTCCTAAAATTTAAAGTCATTTTTGTTCTTTTGGTTCCTCATTTAAGTGTGAGCAATTGATATTAATGAAACAGCAAAACAAACAATATAATGTGGAAGCTGAATGGTATTTGTGAAATCTGGAAGCAGTGGGACGAAAAGCCAGAATTAAAAGGTAGAAAGAAAGATGCAAGTAAATAGAAGAGACCTAAAAAAGCACCCAGTATTGTGACAATTGTTCTTATGAGTGACTGGAGCACTGCATTACTGTCCTGCAGCATGCCCCCAAGGCTTTAGCCTGGTTGGCTGGTACAGTCATGTGGAGACCTAGAATGCAATCCTTCATGGAATGAGGGAACAAAAAAAAAAAACAGGTGGCCAGGCAGGTGGAGTTTCTTGAACCAGGAAAACTGGTAATGAAGAGGAGAGAGTTATACAAAGTGAGATAGGAGGAAAATACAAATAATGAAAAGTGGCCAAACAGGAGGAAAATGTGACACGAGAGTCATGGAAAGCAATAAATGTCTGGCCTGGGATGTGACTAGAAAAGGAAGACGAGGAAGAACACGACTAGAAAAGGAAGAAAGAAGGAACAGGAGGTGTGGATTAAGAAGAGCCCCAGGTGGAATAGGAAGTCAAGTTGCCAGCTCTCCCTCTGGCATATGTCCTTGCCTGCAGGAACACCCAAGGACCAGGGAGAGGGCAGCTGGTCCTAAGCCACATCCAGGCCAGAGCGTGCCAGCAGGAGCTCAGTCATGCCAACATTGTGTGTTCAAAGCCAGCAAATGTTCGTGAACGTAAAAAAGCCACGTCAAGATAAATCTAAGCGGAATCACTGGGAATAAAAGGCATCAGTTTTTTGTGTTTTTGCTCTGTGTTTCTGACCTTTATTGAAATATACTTTTACTCATTTTTTGTAACCAAAAAAGTTGTCAAGCTTTTATTGCTCTATGAGCCAGAAAATGTGCATTTAGCTGTTAATTTATTTAATAAACAGTGCAGCCCACTAATTCTATAGTGCTCCAAGAAAAAGAGCATTTAATGTGTAGTTGATTAGTTAAAAACACAAGCTTTTCACTGAATTTAAATGCAGTAATTACCATTTTTCCTAATGGTTATTACTATTCAACTCTACATCAAGTATGTTTTTCTACAAATGATTCTTTAAAGCTGCAAGATTTCCCGAGTGGTCATTTGCAGTTTAGTGATTTAACTTGATGTTGTCCTCTGGCTGGTAGTCTATTCTCCCTAACACCAGCAGACAGTGCAGATGAGGCCATTTATCCAATCCTGTCATTAGCCAATGACAGGCAGTGTCTTCCTGATGTAATCACTGGTCATTAGGAAAAGGCATTAATTCTGTTATTTAAGACAAACTCAGTATTAAATATTTGCACTCTTGTCTGTGTCTGCGAAACACACAGCTGGACAATCACCAGAGATTTCCTATTACTGGGTGAAGAAAAACAAGCACTCTTAKTGGGTTTTATTGATTTACCTGAGCTTACAAGATATTATTTCAACCCCTCCATTGTTCACTGTCTGCAGCAAAAGTAACAGGTTATCTGTGTTGGATTTAGGAATAAACAAAATGTTCAGATGGTAAAGTAATTGTAGTAATAGTTCCGTAATACTAAGATTTTAAAATGAACTTGCACCAAAAAAAAAAAAAAACTTGACAACATTTGCTGTCAATTCTAGTTTTTTTTGTTCGTTTTTTTTTTCACTTTATTATTATGCTAAACTCTTACAAGCAATTCTTCATTTTTCAATATGTTTAATGTCCACGTTTTGTTAGTATGACCGGTAAGCATTGTCTAAACAACCAATTGATTTACACTGCAAAAACTGTCCATCTTACCAAGTTTTAACATCTTATTTCCAGCCAAAAAGTCTCTTTGATCTTGTTTTGAGACTRATTCACTAAAGAACTGATCTGAATAACTGAATCAGTTCTTGTTTAGCAAATCAATCTCAAAACAAGATCAAAAAGGCTTTTTGGCTGGATATAAGATTTTAAAACTTGGTTACATGGACAGTTTTTGCAGTGCAAGTTTTAAAATCTTATATCCAGACAAAATGTCTTTTTGATCTTGTTTTGAGACTGATTTACTAAACAAGAACTGATTATGTAAGAATAATAATCTTGTTTTCAGAATGTGTAAGATTATTTGTCTTGTTAGTCTGAAAATTTGACTCAAATAAGTCAAAAATTTCTGCCAATGGAGTAAGAAAATTTTACTTGGTAAGATTCTTTAAATAAGAAAAAAATTAGTCAAATCAAGTATTTCAAGAATCTTACCAAGTAAAATTTTCTTACTCCACTGGGAATTTTTTTTTACTTAATTTGAGTCAAATTTTCAGGCTAACAAGACAAATAACCTTAAACATTCTGAAAACAAGATTATTATTCTTACACAATCAGTTCTTGTTTAGTAAATTGGTCTCAAAACAAGATCAAAAAGACTTTTTGGCTGGATAAGATTTTAAAACTTGGTAAGGTGGATATTTTTTGCAGTGTAAATCATCTTGAGAATGTGTGATTGTGGGAAGAAGCGTCTCTAATAAATAACAGCCAGGACTTCACACTCGTGAATGTGACTTATGTGTCCGAGCGTCTGAGCGTCACTATAATGACAGTGAGAGTTCAGCAGTAATTAGAATTTTCCATCACAGTGGCAGGTAATTTTCTGTGCGTGCCTTTCTGCTTGTAATATTCAAGTTAAACCTTTTTTTTCTAAATAGCCAAGCTCAGGAAAAAAAAAACTAATAATGAATTCTTGGGAAAAAGATAAAAGGGAAACCGAAAAATTGAGGACATGTGTGAAGTGAGATGAGTGAGAATCATGTAAGAGAATCAGAGCCAGTGAGTAAGAATCCCCAAGTGGTGAGAAGCTCACCCTCTCTTTTCCCAATCCTCATCTTTCAAGAGCGCTTTGCCCAGCGTTACCACAGCAACGCTGAGCCTTTTCACAAGCTGACCACCGTCACGCGCTTCAGCATACAGTAAGCACACACACACACATGTTCTGTATCACCTGAACAGCCACATGCGCAGATTTAGACAAATGCGAAATCACAAATTACGCAAAACACTTCGCCATCGCAGGCTTAATATAATTACGTTCCTGCTCTTAACGCTCCAGCTCTTGATAAAGAAAGACGAGCATCTGATCTCTTAAATTAAAAAGAACAAGCTGCTCTACTAAAATCCTGGTACGAGTTCTAGCAGGAAAAAAAAGTCATGTTGTGGAAAGGGTACATCGTTTTCTGCCTTCTGTAGTTCATATTCAGCTGAAATATCTACTGAAGATCGTTGGAGTGTTCTGAACAAACAATTACAGCTCGTGAAGGGTTGAACTGTATGTCTGAAATAAGAACATCCAAATTTGATTCTGTCTATTTCATCTTCTGGCCTCCCACACACAGTAACCCATTCACCTGCCTGCTGCTTAATTATCGCCAGCAGCTATTTCAAGTGTTACAGCAGGGATATTGTGCTGAAGAAAAGAGATTCTCAATCCTTGAACAGACTAAACAATTTATATACTGCTTGTTCTTAGATTATGTCAGTTTAGAGGGAGAGAGAGAGAACTAATAACATTAAAACAACTAACAATGTTACTCATTTTTTATTTATTTTCGTCTGCCTTTTGTTCAGCCCCCGGATAAGGAAGGTGGTCTGCCAAAGCAGGTTGGAAACAAAACAGAGTGTGGTCTGCTGGGACTGGTCTTGGACCTGCAGCGGGACTACCAACCAATAAGGAACCAGATCCCCGAGGAGAAGCTTTATAAGGTCTACACTTTTAACTCAGTCAGGAAGTCCATGAGCACCGTCATTAAACTTCCTGATGGGAGCTTCCGCATGTACAGCAAGGGAGCCTCGGAGATTGTTCTCAAAAAGTGAGTCCAGTTTTCCTAATTATACTGAGATTTTTGTGACACGTTATCTACTTCCTGTGTGTGATCTACTTAATTTACCAAGAGTACGACAAACATAACTTGTTATTTTAGAGAAATGTTTGTTTTTGTAAGTGGGTAGGTTTTCACTTCAGGTCACACTTTTTTTTTTGTTTTGCTTTCTTTTGTTCATTCATTAAAGGGCCAATATTATGTGTTTCTCAGGCATACCTTTATATACTATACCATTTAAATAGTATACCATAATAAAGTATCTATGTCACCTTTAGTTGTTATTAAAATGCTGTTTTTATCTTTAAATAGAAAATAAACATCTTCTCACCACTTCCACTTCTAAACACCTTGAAATTGGCCTCTGTCTCTTTAAGAACCTCCTTCTGCTCCTGACCTGTCCCACTTCAGTGC